AACATGTCAGAAACTTCTCCAAATCCTATGCAGAATCCATGCACTAGAAGCTTAGCCAAATACAGCCAGAGGCAGCCTGAGCTGTGCCATTTTCAACTGACAGCAGCAAGATCTGTCAGTACAGATGTGCAAAAAGCATGCATTGAAACAGATGCCGTGAAACACATGCAGTGAAGCAGGTTCAGATCTGCCAGCAGCAGCCAGAAGCAGCACCAGGCAGCTGCTGCAAAGGCTTCGCTCCCAGCAGCCAGAAGTAGCACCAGACAGCTGCTGCAGACCACGCTCCAGACCACTTTCCTGTGACAAAAGCTATTCAGAGTTGCAACAAAAACATGCTTCCCAGTCAGCAACTACAGAAAACACATGCAAAACTAGCAGAAAATGAGGCCCTGACAGAGCTTGGCCAATCCCAGGCTGTGTCTCAGAACATTGAGATGGTATTTCTCAGCTTTCTCAACAGAGCAGCTCAGACATCCACAGGTCCACCTGCACCTGGAACAGACACCAGGGTTGCCCATCTCAGAGATCTTCAAAATCGCCTGTTTGGCAGATTCAGGCAAATCAGAAAGGTCAGGCACCTTGTTCTTGTTGTAAACAGCATCTGCCAGCTTCTCAGCTTCAGAAGCTGCTAGGGCTGTATCTTTCACAGACTTCGCCATAGCCACAGCCTTTTTCTTCAAAGTTTCCAGCTCTTCATTCAGCTTGGCTTGTTTCCTCTCCAGATCCTTCATGGATTTGTTTTGCTCAGCTTTCAGGATGCTTGTCCAGCTGGCCAGAAAGCCTTTCAGATTCGTCACCTGGATCTTGGTTTGCCCTCTGGATCTGGGACCTTCATTTCTGAACAGAGTTAAAATTTCCAAGCAGAATGCCAAGACCCAGAAGCCACAGTCATCAGACTCTTGCATCTGGGTGACTTCTTTCTCCGGGAGAACAGCACTGTCATCCTGCAAGAGGTGCTTCAGAAGCTGCTGGGCTTTCAAAGCATTGATCTGTGCTTTTTCTGTGTCAGAGGCCATTGAGTCAAAGTAGTTCACAGCAACCTTGTCACCTTCAGCAACAGGCTGCATCAGAACCAGCAGAGACCAATGTCCTTCACCATGGAGTGGACAAAGCAGAACCTTTGCTTCATCTTTGATTTTCAGCATCTCTCTCTCTAGAGTAGCCCTGTCAGCAATAAAGTCAGACTGCACATCCAGCAGCCAAGTTCCACTCAGAGCAGGATCCAGCATCAAAAAGCCTCGCTGAGCAAAGAAGTCCACATGGAGAGGAGAAAAGTGCCATCTCAGAAGCTCCCAGCCAAAGAGCATGTGGCTGTCCAGCAGCATTTGGGGGTTCTTATTTTTGACTTCTTCCAGAGGCTCAGCTGCATAGTGATCTGAATCTTCCAGCCAGAGTTTTAGAGCACCACATGCACTCAGGATACTCTGTTTCAGAGCTCTGCTCAGAACCATGGACTTCCACTTCGCAGGCTTCAGCCATTCCTTCTGGCACGCTTCCACATCAGACTCCTTCAGAATTGTTTTCTCCAGCTTGTCACCCACAGTCAAGGTCACAGAGTCTGTGACTATGTTGTGGCCAACACACAGACCTTCTTTCCACACAGGTAATTCATTTTCACAACTCTCAGCTTCTTGCCCAATAGAGGGCCAGCAGATGCCTCTGGCATGGCAGCTGCTGTGGCAGAAGCAGGAAGATCCCCTGGTTCAGGCTCTTCATTGGGAGGAGGCAGAGGTGGAGGCTCAGATGGTGCCTCAGATGGTTCATGCTTCTGAGACTTGTCAGATGCTTCTGCATCCAGAAGCTCAGCAGCAACCTTCTGAGCTACTTGCTTCTTGGCAGACTTCTTCTTCGCCTTTCTGGCAGCTTTGCCAGAGCCAACTTTCACAGACTTGCTTCCTTTGACAGGGGCAGAAGTACCAGCCATTGGTGTAATGCCTTCAGCAGCTTGCTTCAGACTCATCTGCTTCAACTTCTCAGACATTCGCTTTCTGAACTTGCTGGCCAGAATCTGCTTGGCCTGAGCTTTCAGATCCTTGCTGATTCTTTTCGTCTTCTTTTTCAGAAGCTGGTTTTTTTCTCCAGCTTCTTCAGAAAGCTTCCAAGCCAGCTTCTGCAAGGAGAGTGGCACTTGAAGAATCCCACTCTCAATGCATGGCCATTGCAGAGCCTCTGGCAATTCTTCAATGGACAGCAGAGCCTCATCCTCTTCAGGAGCTTCACTCTTTGCAGACCAGTACTGGTATTCCACCAAGTCAGAAATCTCTTTTGAGCCTGGAATCAGAGACCAGTCAGGCTCTACTGGCACAAACTTTCCAGAATCTTCCTTTGTCACCCAGCTGTACCTGTCCTTGAGCCAGTCAGAAGGGTAACGACCAGAACCTTGAGGATAGTCAGCAGCAGGTTCATCTGACAGAGGCTTCATCTCACCAGCCTGCAGGTCAGGCTTGTATGCCAGCATCCCATTTCTCCTCAGACCTTTGCAAATCCAGTCAGATTCGTGTTGCCTTTTGGACATCTCTTCTTGGGCAACAACCACTGCAGAGATACAGTCTTCCACAGTTGCATTCCAAACATCTTTCTTTCCAGCTTTCAACAGAGCTTCTTGGCCATCTCTTCTCCTTCTTGCCATTGCTTCTCTGCACAGAGATTTGAAAGCCCTGCTGTAGTCAGTGTCAGTTAATTGCAAAGAGGCAATCATCTTTGGACAGATGACACACTGCAATGTCTGTGTCGCATACAGAGACTGAGCCGCAGTAGGGCTCCAGCTAGCACTGAAGCAATCCCGCTGGTGAACACAGCAAGGAGCCAGAGCAGACAGCTCCAGCTGGGACCAGTGGAAGATAACAGAGTCTACATTTGCAGCTGGTTGTTGCATCACAGAAACAGCTGCAAACAGCTGTGGCTTCAAAGACCTCAGCTGCCTATAGGGAAGAAGCAGCTTTCCAGCAGACTCTCCAGCTTTCCTCTGCACCAGATTGCCTTTGAACCAAAAGGACTCATCAGAAATGAACTTGCCATCCTGACTGATGTTGTTCAGTCTGGCATGCACACCGTGCACCACCAGAAGTCCAGGCAACACCTTTCCTTGCAGAGGCTGCTCAGAGCAGTAGTTGTACACCGCCTGCCTGGCTTCATAAGTGATGCGATAGCGATCCGCGGATGGCTCCTTCAGAGATCTCTTCTGCTTCAGCCCACTGTCACCAGATGCCTGCAGAGGCATGTCTAGAGGCTTCAGACTTGTGCCTCTAGCAGGGTCAGCTAGTGCAAGACTATGGTGCTGCTTCAAATTTTCTCGAAGCTCAGACTGCTGCACAGGCTTGTGCTCAAACTTGGCAAACAACTCCTTCTCAGACCCAGCTTTGACCCACAGAGGTATCTGATCACTGAACAGAAGCACCATGGAGCTAACATGCTGTCTGAAGGCTGCAGCATCAGCTACAGACTCTGCCAGGCATTCTAGAGAAGCAAAGCAAGCCTTCCAGACAGTCTTGTCAAAGGACTGCCAGGTTAACACAGATCTGACAAACTCTTCTTGCAAGGAGAGCTTAGTTGTCAAATCAGGCTTCAGAGCTTTGAGCTCACATTGCTCCACCAGGCTGACCTTCTTGTTGTTTCTGAATTTACTTTCCTTCAAAATTCTTTGAGACTCATTTCTGGCTTCTTCTTCAGATTTCTCTAGCTCAGCTTTCTTCAAAGGATCCACAGCTTCCCTCGCAGAAGCCTTCAGAGCAGTTTCTTTAGCTTGCAGAAGGACCAGGTACCTATCACACAGAATTTCCTTTGTCACACTGTGCCCATATGATCTTTGTTCCTCAACCCAAGCTTTCACATCATGCAGAACATCTGGCCATCTAGCCTTTCTGCCAGCTCCAGGTTTCCTGAAGCCCTTGTATCTGCTTTGCCTTCTATTCTTCAGATGAGACTTTCCAGAGCCATACAGCAGAGGCTTTGCAGACAGACTTTTTTCTGCACCAGCTTCTGCAGCTTTTCTTTCTGATTCAGCACCTGCTTCAAAAACTTCACCGGTTTTCCAAACTTTTTTTCATATCTCTCCAGAAAGAAGTCTCATCAGCATATTCTGGCAGAGCTGCTTCCAAAGAGTAAGCTATCTTCAACTGAGCAGCTATTGGGACTTCAATCTTTCTGCCCACATTCAGACTTCTGCCAACAGGTCTTCCACCAGACTTCTTGGCTTTCAGCTGTGCTTCCTGAACCTGTGCAGCAGCTGCATCAGAATCTTCCATAGAAGCTTCAACCTCAAAGCTCAAAGCCTTGACCAAAGAGTCTGGAGAAGAGTGAGGCAGACTCTCACCAGCTGAATTGGGAGAAGAAGAGGGCAGACTTTCACAGCTACTAGACTTCAACCTCTTCAGAGGAGGAGTCTTCAGATGTTCAGAAAAAGCATCTCTGTAGATTTGTTCCATTCTAGCTGTCATCGGCCTTCCAGCAAACTTTCTGGTTGTTGCTACATCAAGTGCAGGCTTCAGAGCATCTGGGGCTTGGGGCTTCCAGAATCTTTTCAAAGTCGGCTGCACTGCTCTTCCTACTCAGCTGTCAGAAGAGAAGTAGAACAGAAACAGAAGAGATGAGGCTGCAAAGATCAAGGAAGCAAAGGAAGTTGCACAAGAAAGGCAAGAAGCAATCAAGAGGAAGATACACAGAGAAAGTAAAATGGAATTGCACAAGAGAACATTGTTAATAAATAGCAATAATAAACCTGCACCAGGCATGGCAATAGTGAATTCCAATGGTGCTTCCCCTGCTTTTGTTTTCAGATGTTTGGAGAAAGCAAAGTAAAGCAAGACCCTTTTCAAAGCAGCAAGCACTTTTCATTAACAAAAGCTTAGATTCCAGAAATCTGATCCAATTACCAAACAGCTGATTTCCTTAAAAAGCCCTTATTTAAAAAAGCAAGAAAACAGGTCCACAAAGGGTATCCCCTTTACAAGCTCCAGAATAGCAATAATAAACCTGCACCAGGCATGGCAATAATGAATTCCAATGGTGCTTCCCCTGCTTTTGTTTTCAGATGTTTGGGGAAAGCAAAGTAAAGCAAAACCCTTTTCAAAGCAGCAAGCACTTTTCATTAACAAAAGCTTAGATTCCAGAAATTTGATCCAATTACCAAACAGCTGATTTCCTTAAAAAACCCTTATTTAAAAAAGCAAGAAAACAGGTCCACAAAGGGTATCCCCTTTACAAGCTCCAGAATAGCAATAATAAACCTGCACCAGGCATGGCAATAATGAATTCCAATGGTGCTTCCCCTGCTTTTGTTTTCAGATGTTTGGAGAAGCAAAGTAAAGCAAAACCCTTTTTAAAGCAGCAAGCACTTTTCATTAACAAAAGCTTAGATTCCAGAAATTTGATCCAATTACCAAGCAGCTGATTTCCTTAAAAAACCCTTATTTAAAAAAGCAACAAAACAGGTCCACAAAGGGTACCCCCTTTACAAGCTCCAGAATAGCAATAATAAACCTGCACCAGGCATGGCAATAATGAATTCCAATGGTGCTTCCCCTGCTTTTGTTTTCAGATGTTTGGAGAAAGCAAAGTAAAGCAAAACCCTTTTCAAAGCAGCAAGCACTTTTCATTAACAAAAGCTTAGATTCCAGAAATCTGATCCAATTACCAAACAGCTGATTTCCTTATAAAACCTTTATTTAAAAAAGCAAGTCACAGGTCCACAAAGGGTATCCCCTTTACAAGCTCCAGAATAGCAATAATAAACCTGCACCAGGCATGGCAATAATGAATTCCAATGGTGCTTCCCCTGCTTTTGTTTTCAGATGTTTGGAGAAAGCAAAGTAAAGCAAAACCCTTTTCAAAGCAGCAAGCACTTTTCATTAACAAAAGCTTAGATTCCAGAAATCTGATCCAATTACCAAACAGCTGATTTCCTTATAAAACCTTTATTTAAAAAAGCAAGTCACAGGTCCACAAAGGGTATCCCCTTTACAAGCTCCAGAATAGCAATAATAAACCTGCACCAGGCATGGCAATAATGAATTCCAATGGTGCTTCCCCTGCTTTTGTTTTCAGATGTTTGGAGAAGCAAAGTAAAGCAAAACCCTTTTCAAAGCAGCAAGCACTTTTCATTAACAAAAGCTTAGATTCCAGAAATTTGATCCAAGTACCAAACAGCTGATTTCCTTATAAACCCTTATTTAAAAAAGCAACAAAACAGGTCTACAAAGGGTATCCCCTTTACAAACCCCAGAATAGCAATAATACACCTGCACCAGGCATGGCAATAATGAATTCCAATGGTGCTTCCCCTGCTTTTGTTTTCAGATGTTTGGAGAAAGCAAAGTAAAGCAAAACCCTTTTCAAAGCAGCAAGCACTTTTCATTAACAAAAGCTTAGATTCCAGAAATCTGATCCAATTACCAAACAGCTGATTTCCTTATAAAACCCTTATTTAAAAAAGCAAGAAAACATGTCCACAAAGGGTATCCCCTCTACACGCCCCAGAATAGCAATAATAAACCTGCACCAGGCATGGCAATAATGAATTCCAATTAATTAGTGGTTCTTGTTTTTCCATTGAGTAAGGAAGGAAGAGAAGGAAGGAAGAAAGCAAGAGAAGGAAGGCAATTGAGCAGGAAAGCCAATAAGGATGTATGTATGTATGTATATATGTATGTATGTATGTATGTAGGTAGTATGTATGTATGTATGTATGCATGGATGTATGTATGTATGCATGCATGTAATGTAATGTAACCTAATGTAATGTAATGCAATGTAATGTAATGTAATGCATGCATGCATGTATGTAATGTATGTAATGTATGTATGTATGTAATGTATGTAAATGTATGTAATGTATGTAATGTATGTAATGTATGTAATGTATGTAATGTATGTAATGTATGTAATGTATGTAATGTATGTAATGTATGTAATGTATGTATGTATGTATCTATCTACCTATCTACCTATCTACCTATCTATCTATCTATCTACCTATCTATCTACCTATCTATCTATCTACCTATCTATCTATCTATCTATCTATCTATATATATATATATATCACATACAGAATCAACTGCAGAATCAAATGCTGAAACAAATGCTGAGACAGGTGCAGACTCAACTACAGAATCCACTGCAGAAACACATGCAGAATCAACTGCAGAACCACATGCAGAACATAACAGAAACAAGTCCTTGCCCAGGTCCCCCAGCAGACCCAGAACTGCCAGAGCTGCTTGCCACCATTGCCAGACCACTGCCAGAATCCAGCTGCTGCCCCAGAGTACCTGGTCAGAAAAGAAGCCCTTTAGGTGTTCAACAAGAAACCCAAGAAACCCATGCAGAATCTGGGCAGAATCAATCATAATCTCAACAAAACCAATGCAGAATCCATCAGAATCTCAACAAAATCTGTCCAGAATCCATCAGAATCTCAACAAAACCTATGCAGAATCCATCATAATCTCAACAAAACCCATGCAGAATCTACCAGAATCTCAACAAAACCCATGCAGAATCCATCAGAATCTCAACAAAATCTGTCCAGAATCCATGAGAATCTCAACAAAACCTATGCAGAATCCATCATAATCTCAACAAAACCCATGCAGAATCCATCAGAATCCCAACAAAACTCATGCAGAACCCATCAGAATCTCAACAAAATCTGTCCAGAATCCATCAGAATCTCAACAAAACCTATGCAGAATCCATCATAATCTCAACAAAACCCATGCAGAATCTATCAGAATCTCAACAAAACCCAAACCCATGCAGAACCCATCAGAATCTCAACAAAATCTGTCCAGAATCCATCAGAATCTCAACAAAACCTATGCAGAATCCATGAGAACCTCAACAAAACCTATGCTGAATCCACCATAATCTGAACAAAACCCATGCAGAATCCACCAGAATCTCAACAAAATCTGTCCAGAATCCATGAGAATCTCAACAAAACATATGCTGAATCCATCATAATCTCAACAAAACCCATGCAGAATCCATCAGAATCTCAACAAAATCTGTCCAGAATCCATCAGAATCTCAACAAAACCTATGCAAAATCCACCAGAACCTCAACAAAACCTATGCTGAATCCACCATAATCTGAACAAAACCCATGCAGAATCCACCAGAATCTCAACAAAATCTGTCCAGAATCCATGAGAATCTCAACAAAACCTATGCAGAATCCATGAGAATCTCAACAAAATCTATGCAAACCCCATCAGAAGACAAGACAATACAGCCAAGACTATACAGCCAAAGACACAAGCAGATCCCTCAGAAGTACCAGCAGCAGCAGCATCAGAACTGCCAGAATCAGCTGCTACCAGAACAGCATCAGATGCCATGGCGAAATGCCACAGGGTGAAAAGTGGCAAAATGCCACAGAGTGAAAGCTTCTTGGCAACAGATAGTGACAATGCAGAGTTCCTACTGATTCAGATGTCTATCTAATTGAAAAAACATTGCAAAGTGTCCTTGAACACACACAGAGCTATCAGAATCCAACTAAGTCCAAGCAGAACTTCTTCAGACATGCAATCCATGCAGAATCTTTGACAGAACCCAATCAGAAAACATGACAATTACTTAGAATTGTTCAAAAACAATTCTGTTGCATACAGAAAAGGAATCACAGAGAGAGACCTATCAGAAGCCACACCTGCAACATGCAGAATCCATGCCAAACCTTTCAGAAACCTGTCTGAATAACATCAAAATCCATGAGAACCATTCTTTTGAATACAACCAGGTTGAACCAGAAATTTGACAAACTGGTGACAGAAACTTATCAGAAACCACACCCCCAAGGTGCAGAATGCTTGCCAGGCAGTCAGATCGATCAGCACCAGAAAGGCCACAGAGGCACAGCAGAGATACACAGAATGACAGCCATTGGATCAGAAATCACTTCTGAAGTCAAATAAGTCTAGTTATGTACATATATATATTTATGTATTTACTTGTTAACTAATTGGTTACTAATATATCACAGATCCAATGGCATGCACCCTATATGGCAGCATCGGTTGTCAAAATCATCCAAGCAGATCAATTTCAGATGATCAGAACAACACAGATATGATATCATTACTAATTAGCAGGTGAATGGTGGCATTAATCACTAATTCAACTAAATTGTAATTACTTAAACTGATCTACTCAGAACCCCAAAAGTACTTGCACAGAGGCTCAGAGCAGCTGTTCAGAGGCTCAGACAGAAGCCCAGCAGCATAGTGCAGTACTGCAGCCAGATCCTGGGGCCAACAGAAAACCATCTCACAAACATTCCAGTCACAGAACCCCATGAAAACCAACCACAACACAATCAGAACCCAGCAGAATACATTTAGAAATCAGAAAACATCACAGGACCATATGAGAAGACCATTCAGACACTAAAGAAAGCCAAGGCTCCCTTACCAGACCAGCAAAGCAGAACAGACCAGAGGCTCAGAGGCTGAGAAGCCCAGCAGCATAGCTCAGTGCTGCAGCCAGATCCCGGGCAACAGAAAACCATCTCACAAACATTCCACTCACAGAACCCCATGAAAACCAACCACAACACAATCAAAACCCAACAGAATACATTTAGAAATCAGAAAACATCACAGAACCATATGAGAAAACCATTCAGACACTAAAGAAAACCTAGACTCCTTTTACCAGACCAGCAAAGCAGAACATCAGAGCCTGGGATCAGAGCCTCACATCAGAGACTCCCTGCTCCTCATGGCTGCCTTGGCCTCATCAGACAAGGGCCTGGGCTTCATGTCTTCAGAAGGCCATTCCACCTGCCATGAAGACACAGGGCAGTGCAGAATCCAACAAAAGTCTATGATAATACAAATAAAACCCATCAGAATTACCAAGACAATTCCATACATAACCCATCAGATTTGAAAATGAACCCATGCAGAACCCATCAGAATCTCAACAAAACATATGTAGAACCCATCAGAATCTCAACAAAACATATGCACAATCCATCAGAATCTCAATGCTGTAATACCTATGCAGAATTCATCAGAACTTCAGCAAAAAATCCATCAGAATCTCCACAAAATCCATGCAAAATCTTTGAGCCAAAGCATGCCAGGCCTCAGCCACCAGAGCAACAGAATCTCGACCATGTGCTTCAGCCAGCTCCAGAATGTAGGTCATGTGGACCAGAGTCTCCTTGTAGCCTGGGCAGAAGCCACATGAGTTATATTTTAAAAATAGTCCAAAAAACATAGAGATAATATATATATATATATATTCTATGTAATTATATATATAATATGTAAATAAATAAATAAATATATATATAATATATCTATGTGTGTAAATATATATATAGCTATATGTGTATATATATATATACATATATATATATATCAAATATGAAATATCATATGAATATATAAATTATATTATATGTTATAACATATATCATATAAGTCAAGTAGCAGCTTTTGATCCAGAGCTCCCACTGAGCCAGAGGCTCTGGCAGAGTCACCTCCATCGGGTTCACAGAGACTTCAGAGGCAGTGAAGCAGATCACCCTTAGTGTGACCACAGAGACATTGGATAATCTATCAGAAACATATCAGAACACCCTGCCAGAGATACAAGTAGATCCATGCAGAACACATCAGAAAACCAAACAAAACAATGCAGGAACTTCCAGAGATTTCATCAAATCCATGCAGGCCCCATCAGATTTCCACCAAAATCCATACATAACCCATCAGAATCTCAACAATACCTATGCAAAATCCATCAGAACTTCAACAAAAACCTATCAGAATCTCAACAAAACCATGGAGAACCCAATAAAAATTCATCAAGAATCCATCAAAATCCCAACAATACCTATGCAGAACCCATCAGAACTTCAACAAAAAACAATCAGAATCTCAACAAAACCTGTGCAGAATCCATCAGAACTTCAACAAAATTCATCAGAATCTCAAAAAAAAACAATAATTACATAACACCATCCCCCAGCCAGGAAACTCAGTCCAGACCACCTTCAGGTTGCGCAGAACAGCTGCCAGATTCAGGCTGCTGGTGCTGCTTTCAATGGCATCATAGAGCCATTCAGCAGCAGTTTGCATCCACGCAAACCAACAGACCCACTTCCACAGAAGAGCTGGGCCACCAGCACCCAGATAGACCAGATAGGATTCCAGCCTCAGCAATCCCAGGAATCCATGTAGTATTAAAAAACACAGAAAACAACCCCATAATTATCCAAGAGCTTCCCACCAGAAACCAATGCATCCAAGCAACTCCCATCTGATCCTGCTCTTCAGAACAGCATAGGTACATTCAGCAGAGGAGTGAACATACCCTCTGCCATAATTCCCACTTCGATACTGGGTCTGCAGATTCACGGCAGATCTTGTCAGAACTCTGCTCTGGACGTCTGGGTTGTACATTTCAGACCCAGCAGAGGCAGCAGACTCAGTAGAGTAGCCCAGAGACATGGCAGGCCGATCAGACAGAGGTCGATACAGAGGCAGGCAGAAGACAGAGCCAGAGCCAGAATGCTACAAGCCATATCTTCCTATGCAGATTCTCACAGAAAGCAACACTGCCCCATGCAGAATCCATGCATCAGAAACTAAACCAAATCCATACAGAATCTAACAGAAACCAACCCTAATCCATGCAGAACCTATGCAGAACATCTCAGAAATCTAACCAAACCCTATGCAGAATCTAACAGAAACCCAACAAAACCATGGAGAATCTATCAGATTATAGATCCCAGCTATAGATTCCCACAAATAGATTATTATACGAAAGTTGACCCCTCCCTGTAAAAAAAAAATAGGGGGGGTATTTATTATTAGGCAGCCAACATTAAGTAGAATGACCCAAATGGCTGAGTCAAGTAATGATGTAAGTAGAATGACACCTCCCCCCAACCAAACCCTAAATGGCTGAGTCAAGTAATGATGATAAGAAGGATGTTTTCCGTGTTGCCCAAAGTGATGAAATCCGTGTTGCCCAAAGTGAGCGTCCAAAGTGTGAGGAGTGTGTGATTTCTGCATGTTGCCTGAAGTGATGCGTTTGGTGTTGCCCTAAGTGATGCGGGTGAGTTGTAACGGTTTGAAGCCTTTGAAGCGTTTAAGGCCTGGCAACGGCACGCTTGGACGCCCATAAGAAGCCATTGATGTGGCCTTGGGATGCCTGTTGCTAAGAAAGACAAGTTGTAACGGTTTGAAGCCTTTTAAGCGTTTAAGGCCTGGCAAACGGCAGGCTTGGACGCCATAAGAAGCCATTGATGTGGCCTTGGGATGCCTGTTGCTAAGAAAGACAAGTTCCACACCTGCGGTGGTCCCAGGCGCTGCCCCTGCCTTGGCGAAGGCCGGGGTCGGCGGATATTTGATGTTACATCACAACCACAGAGGAATCGAATGCAAACCGCTCAGTACTGAACAGCAATCAAGGTGGACCTGTTTCGTCCCAGTCATATACATATACATATATACATATACATATATATATATAATATATATATAATATATACATATACATATATATAATATATATAATATATATATAATATATAATATATATAATATATATATAATATATATATATATATGTATATATGGCTGCGAGTCAAAATGTAAAGCCCTGATGCATACCCTGAACCCACAGGCCGATCCATACCCCTGCTCCATACTAAAACGCAGGCACCGCGGGCGGATCCATACTCGAATTTTGATGCATATATACATATATACATATATACATATATACATATACATACATATACATACATATACATACATATACATACATATACATACATATATACATACATATACATACATATACATACATATACATATACATACATATACATACATATACATACATATACATACATATACATACATATACATACATATACATACATATACATACATATACATACATACATACATACATACATACATACATACATACATACATACATACATACATACATTTGTTTCATATATATATATACGTACATATATATATATCCCCTTTTTGGGTATTGTTGAACTCCCATCCAAATCTTGTTTCTTGGCGCATCTGGCGACGAGTTCGACATCCAAATTGTGTTGCAAACATGTCAGAAACTTCTCCAAATCCTATGCAGAATCCATGCACTAGAAGCTTAGCCAAATACAGCCAGAGGCAGCCTGAGCTGTGCCATTTTCAACTGACAGCAGCAAGATCTGTCAGTACAGATGTGCAAAAAGCATGCATTGAAACAGATGCCGTGAAACACATGCAGTGAAGCAGGTTCAGATCTGCCAGCAGCAGCCAGAAGCAGCACCAGGCAGCTGCTGCAAAGGCTTCGCTCCCAGCAGCCAGAAGTAGCACCAGACAGCTGCTGCAGACCACGCTCCAGACCACTTTCCTGTGACAAAAGCTATTCAGAGTTGCAACAAAAACATGCTTCCCAGTCAGCAACTACAGAAAACACATGCAAAACTAGCAGAAAATGAGGCCCTGACAGAGCTTGGCCAATCCCAGGCTGTGTCTCAGAACATTGAGATGGTATTTCTCAGCTTTCTCAACAGAGCAGCTCAGACATCCACAGGTCCACCTGCACCTGGAACAGACACCAGGGTTGCCCATCTCAGAGATCTTCAAAATCGCCTGTTTGGCAGATTCAGGCAAATCAGAAAGGTCAGGCACCTTGTTCTTGTTGTAAACAGCATCTGCCAGCTTCTCAGCTTCAGAAGCTGCTAGGGCTGTATCTTTCACAGACTTCGCCATAGCCACAGCCTTTTTCTTCAAAGTTTCCAGCTCTTCATTCAGCTTGGCTTGTTTCCTCTCCAGATCCTTCATGGATTTGTTTTGCTCAGCTTTCAGGATGCTTGTCCAGCTGGCCAGAAAGCCTTTCAGATTCGTCACCTGGATCTTGGTTTGCCCTCTGGATCTGGGACCTTCATTTCTGAACAGAGCTAAAATTTCCAAGCAGAATGCCAAGACCCAGAAGCCACAGTCATCAGACTCTTGCATCTGGGTGACTTCTTTCTCCGGGAGAACAGCACTGTCATCCTGCAAGAGGTGCTTCAGAAGCTGCTGGGCTTTCAAAGCATTGATCTGTGCTTTTTCTGTGTCAGAGGCCATTGAGTCAAAGTAGTGCACAGCAACCTTGTCACCTTCAGCAACAGGCTGCATCAGAACCAGCAGAGACCAATGTCCTTCACCATGGAGTGGACAAAGCAGAACCTTTGCTTCATCTTTGATTTTCAGCATCTCTCTCTCTAGAGTAGCCCTGTCAGCAATAAAGTCAGACTGCACATCCAGCAGCCAAGTTCCACTCAGAGCAGGATCCAGCATCAAAAAGCCTCGCTGAGCAAAGAAGTCCACATGGAGAGGAGAAAAGTGCCATCTCAGAAGCTCCCAGCCAAAGAGCATGTGGCTGTCCAGCAGCATTTGGGGGTTCTTATTTTTGACTTCTTCCAGAGGCTCAGCTGCATAGTGATCTGAATCTTCCAGCCAGAGTTTTAGAGCACCACATGCACTCAGGATACTCTGTTTCAGAGCTCTGCTCAGAACCATGGACTTCCACTTCGCAGGCTTCAGCCATTCCTTCTGGCACGCTTCCACATCAGACTCCTTCAGAATTGTTTTCTCCAGCTTGTCACCCACAGTCAAGGTCACAGAGTCTGTGACTATGTTGTGGCCAACACACAGACCTTCTTTCCACACAGGTAATTCATTTTCACAACTCTCAGCTTCTTGCCCAATAGAGGGCCAGCAGATGCCTCTGGCATGGCAGCTGCTGTGGCAGAAGCAGGAAGATCCCCTGGTTCAGGCTCTTCATTGGGAGGAGGCAGAGGTGGAGGCTCAGATGGTGCCTCAGATGGTTCATGCTTCTGAGACTTGTCAGATGCTTCTGCATCCAGAAGCTCAGCAGCAACCTTCTGAGCTACTTGCTTCTTGGCAGACTTCTTCTTCGCCTTTCTGGCAGCTTTGCCAGAGCCAACTTTCACAGACTTGCTTCCTTTGACAGGGGCAGAAGTACCAGCCATTGGTGTAATGCCTTCAGCAGCTTGCTTCAGACTCATCTGCTTCAACTTCTCAGACATTCGCTTTCTGAACTTGCTGGCCAGAATCTGCTTGGCCTGAGCTTTCAGATCCTTGCTGATTCTTTTCGTCTTCTTTTTCAGAAGCTTGTTTTTTTCTCCAGCTTCTTCAGAAAGCTTCCAAGCCAGCTTCTGCAAGGAGAGTGGCACTTGAAGAATCCCACTCTCAATGCATGGCCATTGCAGAGCCTCTGGCAATTCTTCAATGGACAGCAGAGCCTCATCCTCTTCAGGAGCTTCACTCTTTGCAGACCAGTACTGGTATTCCACCAAGTCAGAAATCTCTTTTGAGCCTGGAATCAGAGACCAGTCAGGCTCTACTGGCACAAACTTTCCAGAATCTTCCTTTGTCACCCAGCTGTACCTGTCCTTGAGCCAGTCAGAAGGGTAACGACCAGAACCTTGAGGATAGTCAGCAGCAGGTTCATCTGACAGAGGCTTCATCTCACCAGCCTGCAGGTCAGGCTTGTATGCCAGCATCCCATTTCTCCTCAGACCTTTGCAAATCCAGTCAGATTCGTGTTGCCTTTTGGACATCTCTTCTTGGGCAACAACCACTGCAGAGATACAGTCTTCCACAGTTGCATTCCAAACATCTTTCTTTCCAGCTTTCAACAGAGCTTCTTGGCCATCTCTTCTCCTTCTTGCCATTGCTTCTCTGCACAGAGATTTGAAAGCCCTGCTGTAGTCAGTGTCAGTTAATTGCAAAGAGGCAATCATCTTTGGACAGATGACACACTGCAATGTCTGTGTCGCATACAGAGACTGAGCCGCAGTAGGGCTCCAGCTAGCACTGAAGCAATCCCGCTGGTGAACACAGCAAGGAGCCAGAGCAGACAGCTCCAGCTGGGACCAGTGGAAGATAACAGAGTCTACATTTGCAGCTGGTTGTTGCATCACAGAAACAGCTGCAAACAGCTGTGGCTTCAAAGACCTCAGCTGCCTATAGGGAAGAAGCAGCTTTCCAGCAGACTCTCCAGCTTTCCTCTGCACCAGATTGCCTTTGAACCAAAAGGACTCATCAGAAATGAACTTGCCATCCTGACTGATGTTGTTCAGTCTGGCATGCACACCGTGCACCACCAGAAGTCCAGGCAACACCTTTCCTTGCAGAGGCTGCTCAGAGCAGTAGTTGTACACTGCCTGCCTGGCTTCATAAGTGATGCGATAGCGATCCGCGGATGGCTCCTTCAGAGATCTCTTCTGCTTCAGCCCACTGTCACCAGATGCCTGCAGAGGCATGTCTAGAGGCTTCAGACTTGTGCCTCTAGCAGGGTCAGCTAGTGCAAGACTATGGTGCTGCTTCAAATTTTCTCGAAGCTCAGACTGCTGCACAGGCTTGTGCTCAAACTTGGCACACAATTCCTTCTCAGACCCAGCTTTGACCCACAGAGGTATCTGATCACTGAACAGAAGCACCATGGAGCTAACATGCTGTCTGAAGGCTGCAGCATCAGCTACAGACTCTGCCAGGCATTCTAGAGAAGCAAAGCAAGCCTTCCAGACAGTCTTGTCAAAGGACTGCCAGGTTAACACAGATCTGACAAACTCTTCTTGCAAGGAGAGCTTAGTTGTCAAATCAGGCTTCAGAGCTTTGAGCTCACATTGCTCCACCAGGCTGACCTTCTTGTTGTTTCTGATTTACTTTCCTTCAAAATTCTTTGAGACTCATTTCTGGCTTCTTCTTCAGATTTCTCTAGCTCAGCTTTCTTCAAAGGATCCACAGCTTCCCTCGCAGAAGCCTTCAGAGCAGTTTCTTTAGCTTGCAGAAGGACCAGGTACCTATCACACAGAACTTCCTTTGTCACACTGTGCCCATATGATCTTTGTTCCTCAACCCAAGCTTTCAGATCATGCAGAACATCTGGCCATCTAGCCTTTCTGCCAGCTCCAGGTTTCCTGAAACCCTTGTATCTGCTTTGCCTTCTATTCTTCAGATGAGACTTTCCAGAGCCATACAGCAGAGGCTTTGCAGACAGATTTTTTTCTGCACCAGCTTCTGCAGCTTTTCTTTCTGATTCAGCACCTGCTTCAAAAACTTCACCGGTTTTCCAAACTTTTTTCATATCTCTCCAGAAAGAAGTCTCATCAGCATATTCTGGCAGAGCTGCTTCCAAAGAGTAAGCTATCTTCAACTGAGCAGCTATTGGGACTTCAATCTTTCTGCCCACATTCAGACTTCTGCCAACAGGTCTTCCACCAGACTTCTTGGCTTTCAGCTGTGCTTCCTGAACCTGTGCAGCAGCTGCATCAGAATCTTCCATAGAAGCTTCAACCTCAAAGCTCAAAGCCTTGACCAAAGAGTCTGGAGAAGAGTGAGGCAGACTCTCACCAGCTGAATTGGGAGAAGAAGAGGGCAGACTTTCACAGCTACTAGACTTCAACCTCTTCAGAGGAGGAGTCTTCAGATGTTCAGAAAAAGCATCTCTGTAGATTTGTTCCATTCTAGCTGTCATCGGCCTTCCAGCAAACTTTCTGGTTGTTGCTACATCAAGTGCAGGCTTCAGAGCATCTGGGGCTTGGGGCTTCCAGAATCTTTTCAAAGTCGGCTGCACTGCTCTTCCTACTCAGCTGTCAGAAGAGAAGTAGAACAGAAACAGAAGAGATGAGGCTGCAAAGATCAAGGAAGCAAAGGAAGTTGCACAAGAAAGGCAAGAAGCAATCAAGAGGAAGATACACAGAGAAAGTAAAATGGAATTGCACAAGAGAACATTGTTAATAAATAGCAATAATAAACCTGCACCAGGCATGGCAATAATGAATTCCAATGGTGCTTCCCCTGCTTTTGTTTTCAGATGTTTGGAGAAAGCAAAGTAAAGCAAAACCCTTTTCAAAGCAGCAAGCACTTTTCATTAACAAAAGCTTAGATTCCAGAAATCTGATCCAATTACCAAACAGCTGATTTCCTTATAAAACCCTTATTTAAAAAAGCAAGAAAACAGGTCCACAAAGGGTATCCCCTTTACAAGCTCCAGAATAGCAATAATAAACCTGCACCAGGCATGGCAATAATGAATTCCAATGGTGCTTCCCCTGCTTTTGTTTTCAGATGTTTGGGGAAAGCAAAGTAAAGCAAAACCCTTTTCAAAGCAGCAAGCACTTTTCATTAACAAAAGCTTAGATTCCAGAAATCTGATCCAATTACCAAACAGCTGATTTCCTTATAAAACCCTTATTAAAAAAGCAAGAAAACAGGTCCACAAAGGGTATCCCCTTTACAAGCCCCAGAATAGCAATAATAAACCTGCACCAG